TGGTATACGGTATGCCTGTGACTTGAGGGGGAGAATGTTGGTGCAGGTTGCTCGCTCTTGGGCAATAAACATATTTCTTCTGCGCCAACGCTTGTGCTTGCTTACTCTTATCTCTGAACTCGAATGTGGCTGTGCTGTGATCATATCAGTCACGTGTGGACCCGAGTACGTCTGTGGCGTCATGGTGGGGCCAGTAGTATGGCAGAACGCAAGGCTGCTGGAACAAAGGGTATCTTTATTTGTTCACTATGCATAGCTTTAAACGACTTTGAATGGCAGTTCAACTTTTTTGAACATGTGCAGGAGGAGGACGAGGTTGTGAAATAGAATGGGACAAATGTAGCGAGGGGTATCAACGATGGAAAGTCGCTAAAGAAGAGAAATACATGACGGCATCCTTTTTTAGTAGAAGAAGAAAAACAGTGCGTAGGATTAGGCATAGGCCATAGACCTTTTGAAAACATTATCAGATCTGCCTTGAGGTGCGCCTCGCGAAGGGGGAGGCGGGGTGTACAGCCATTGCTTACGCTAGCACGGTGGACCTTAGAGACCTTCGTTTCATGACGCCTGCGCTAATTAGCCGGTGGCTGAGGGCGGATACGGATATTCGACTCATACCTCTGGTTCGAAGTGTGAACGGCCGCCGCGCCTGTGCTACACAACATCTTTATCGGCACCAACATCGGTACATTAGAATGATATTATAGAGCATCTTCAGGCGACTAAGCCGAACACACGCAACTTCCTTGACGAACTGAACGCACATCATCGTGATTAGTTTGCATCCATCAGGAACCTCCAGTGAAAGTCGCTCTTGCTGATGTCAAACGAGGAGTTGATGTGTCTTAGACTCGGCAGTCTTTCCGTCCCATTCGCCACACCATCAGGCTTCAATGAGGGTAGATCCTGCAAAAGTGAGACTGTTCGACCAGACCCAGTCGCAAGCTCGAAGGTACTGCTATTTGGACTTGCTCTACCCGAAGGATCTCTTAAAACTGTTTTCATCAACGCAGTAGTGCGGCGGAAGCGCTCGAAAATGTCGTGATTGGTATCCGAAGCGTCCCGTGGATGCGGTATCCGCGAACATAGTTGATCGCGAAAGTACTCGAATGTGTTTGCGATCTGTAGTTCAGCTGGGTCCCATCCAGGTAAAGGTGGCGTTTGAAGTGCTAACTGGCTCAGATTGGTCATGGCAGATGCCAGGTTGAGCCAATCCACGATGGAGACCGACTCATATTGGCTTGTTGACAATCGTGTGCTGTTGTCAAGGAACGTTTCGATTGATCGGAGGCAGTTTACTTGTGAAGAGAGTCTAAAGCCATTGACCCATGGGGTCTCACGATCTGCAAGCTCTAATGAACTCGCCCTGCGATATAGGCGCATCTGCGCTGCATGAAGTAGCCATTGTAGTGATTCTAGTAACGTGTCAGGGTCTCCATATCTAGAGTAAATCATATTCTTCTTACTGAAGTCTTTTGCCTGCAGCTTCGACGCAGCCTGTATACTTTCCCATTTGTCACGCAAACGCTTAACCTGTGAGCGTGCGATTAGTGCCTGCTCAGGTTGGTCGCGCAAAGTTTCCTCCACATCTTCCATATACTGGCAAATATCAATCAATATAGGTAGCACCACATCTGACTTGTATTCCCAAGCAGATGCTATTTCGGATGCGTAAGCTCGTAATGTGCTCGGGAAGGATGAAGGTCGAGGATTCGCAGAGTTCATCGTTCCAATATTTGACACCAAGAAGTAGCAGCCCAAATATGTTCTTTTCATCTCCCGATCTCTGGAGTTATTCTTATGCAACGGGCTTCGTATGGCGTTTGCTTCCTTTTCCAGGCCGAGATCATGTGTCATGCCTAGGCAGATTTGAAGTAGCATCGGGATCGAAATAGATTGCACTTCCATATAGTGGTGATGCCAGGCGATGAATACCAGTAAGCCCTGTAATAGGTCCAGGCTTTTACTTCCGCTCATGACTTTGACCATGAAGACCTTACGCAACTCCCGACTCAGCGTCATCTGGAGACGAACCGAATCATAAGACGACACCGTTAAGACCGCAAACATCAGCATCGGTCGCTGACGAATAAGGTCTTGGCAAGAAAAATCTTTTGGCAGAGGTACAAAGGGGAAGGAATCTACCATGACTCTATAGATCTCTAGCAGCATCTGCATATGACCCAAACCAATGGACCGTATCAGGGGATCGAGCCGGCCAACACAGGCCATAGTGTCGTTGATCGAGTCCCAGAATGACAAGCAATCGGCTGAACTCAGATCTGGTGCTGGGAGAATTGGGGTCTTCAAGACTGTCGGTGCAGGCGCCAACTGAGTGGCAGCAGGCGCAGGCGCAGGCGCAGGCGTCGGCGTGTGTTGAGAGCCATCGGAACGTTGCGATGGAAGCGTAGCTATCAAGGGTAAACTCGAAGGTGATCCTGATGGTTCCATCGAGGCAACTATGGCCGAAAGCTTGTCCAGTTTCTTGTCGAATTCGCGGGTCCTATTGGGCGTATGGCTATCGCTCCTGTGCCCATCACCCCGAGACTTTGCAGGTCGTCTACGTGCCACATGCTCGATACACTCCACCCGAGCTTTTTGACATCTAGCACGTGTCATCCCAAGTGGTACAAAGTACCGGCAGAGGGGAACGAACATACCTCTGACATAAGCTGGCAGTGTCTGACGGTACGCATCTTACTTTATGCTTCCGACACCTTTCGCAAGCGAATGCATTGCCCACTCTTCCTTCTCTTGTGTCCATGGCGAAGTTGGAAGTGCTGGGTGGTTCGGCAACCACAGGGGAGGAGTCCGCCTTCGCGGCATCTGTCCGCATGTGGGGGAGTCCGAGCATCGCTCCGAGCCCGTGAAGGTGTGAAAGTCTACCTCTCTCTGGCTCTGGTGCGAATAGTTTAGGCCAGGAGTTCAGTGCTACATCGATAGCCTCTCTTCGGAGGACAGAGCCGAAGACCGGTGCATCTCAACGGGCATCGTGCAGATGTGTTTGCCTTGTGGCGGTGCCTTGTGTTGGGTAGATGATGGGCTACCTCGGCAACTAATCGAGGTCGGCGGTAAATTGATCGTCCGAATTTCCATCATCGGCTGACGGTTAGCCGTACTCTAAACCTGCCGTATATAGCCACATGACGGCTCCGACTCTCGCGTGGGCGAACAATCTATCGGGCGCTTCCCCAGCACGTGTGATGCCGGTGAAAGATGGCCCGGCACGTTTGCCGCAATCGTTAGGTTGGAGTGGAGATCTTTCGATCGCAGCCGACCGTAGCACCGTCCATTAATGAAATTGCAGCCTTAAATAGCTACCTGGATGTCAGCGCGAGCTGTGTGCAGTACATTGGTTCATGCATACTGCGTACCTACCGTAGCATGCATACGTACATACGTCCCGCCTGGGGAAAGTGGTGAGCCCATATCGTACCTAGTCAATCGCTTCATCCCGTCTTCGCGGGGTCGACCGTCCGATGTACGAGCATGTGCCTTGGCCGACCGGCGACAAACATCCAATCGTGTCCTCCAAATGCATCTTGTCCGTTGTCCCAATAAGGGCACGTACTCGGGGATTTCTGCCGTAGATCAGCCGGATTTACCAAGCACCTTTGCGCAACGGTGGTGTCGTGATGTTGTATTTATATCGTCGTGGGGTGGGGCAGCAGTCGTTTTGACGTCTGGACCGTCTGGACGGTCGCAGCATGGTCATGTGACTACCCACGTCACACCTGTCGCCCAGCATCAAGGTGCGCAGATAAGCAAGCGAGGAAGCATTGGCATCACTAGAGCGACTCCAGTCGAATTTGAGAAAAACAAAATGGAAAGATGACATTGATTTATTATGTGCAACATTCGCTCATAGCTTCGACTTTGACACAATCAATGCGTTGTTGTTCTGAATCGTCTTGACAGCATCGTTGACAAGCTCGTCAACAATCTCCCGAGCCGTCTTCTTCTCGTTAACGACAGCAGCGACCTTGCCCATCAAGAACGGCCGCGCGTTGTCCATGGTCTCATCATCGATATCGTCGCCCATCTTCTCGAGATCGTGCTCTACAGGGAGTATACCCTTGCTGGTGAGTTCCTTGATCTCAGCCTGCCTGTTCTCCTCCCAGTTTTGTACATAAGGATTGGTCCGAATCCGGAGGGGTCGCCCTGTGAAGATGATTGTGCGGATGTTGTCGTCCCACCCCGCTGTTCGTACAGCTTCCTGGTGGGCCTTGGGCGCACCAGCCTCCTCGGAAAGGATGAAGCGTGTTCCTACCCAGACACCGGTAGCGCCAAAGGAGAGCATAGCGGCCAGAGACTGTCCGTTGTAGATACCGCCAGCGGCAACAATCTGGACTTGTTCGCCTGTTAGAGGGGACTTGTAGCCTTCGACCATCTTGACGGCTGCCGGAATGAAGACTGATGTGGGAACGTCTCCCGTGTGCCCTCCACCCTCACCACCTTGTGCGCAAATGATATCGACGCCGACATCGAGACACTTCTTGATGTGCTTGGGGTGTCCGATCATGTTCATGTACAGGACACCCGCCTTGTGAAGCTTTTCGACGATAGCCTTTGGTGGTACACCGACAGCCGAAACAAAGAGCTTTGCGCCCGAATCGATGATGATGTCGGTAAGTTCGCCCAACTTGCCCTTGGTGTAGTCGTAGCTATTTGCACATTAGCGCCTGCACACCAGGGGCCCAGGACATGCGGGCTGATATCAGCTGACTAACTTGGTCTTGCGCGCACTGCCGCCAACCTGGGGGAGAAGCAGATCGATACCAAATGGCGCGTTCTGGTCGTTAAGGTAACCCTTGAGTTCAGCAATCTGCTCCCGGAGCATGTCTGGCGTATATCCAACACCGCCAATCACGCCGAGGCCACCCGCGTTGGTGACGGCCGCCGCGAGCTTAGGTCCAGCAGCCACGTTCATGCCCGCAAGCATAACGGGATGCTGGATCTTCAGCAGATCGGTCAGCTTTGTGCGAATTTGCTCTACACTGTGTCAGCTATTGTAGCACGTGAGCACCCGATGCATCATGGGGAAGCAACGTACGTGGAGAGGCCATGATGAACCAAAGTGTCCGGCTGCTTGGGGGTATCGAGTGAAAGAAAGACGGTAAAAGGTATTCAAGGTAATCCACACAGGCAGAGAGAAAATGTTGGAGCCAAAGGAGGAGAGTGTCCGGCTCTTATGGGAGGAGAAGCCTAGGTCGACTCCCCAGCTGCGATGAGCCGAGGCATGACTTGTTGCCACGCTAACCAGATTTGCGGGGCAATCTCGACGGTCTGGGGAAACTTTCGCCAGGGCTCACGCCCGACGCCATCCCAGACATGTGATATTGTCCACGGATGCCAAATTTCCTGCCATGTCAGCATGTATAGGCAGGTGGAGGGCGACATGCTCGAGGTCGCTCCGACGACCGAATCAAGGCATCGCACCGCCCTTTGGATGGAGTGCTTCCAAAGAAATGCGCAATGGGGGATTACCCACCAAGCACTTTGCTGGCACAAGGACCTTCACAGCACGCCTTGTCAGTGAGGCAAAGTTTCATCATCCGACGTGGCCTTCTTGCTCTAGTGTTTCAAAGCAATTCCGTCGGTCTCGCCATGGATCCCTACAATCAAGCCATCGCGCTTTCATTGCTTTGGGTAGCAACCTAGGCGACCGAGTGGCGATGATCGAGCAAGCTTGCAAAGAGATGGATGCGAGTGGGCGGATGCGGGTAGTTCGAACGAGTAGTCTGTGGGAAACCAACGCCATGTATGTTGTCGATCAAGACAAATTTGTGAACGGTGCTTGTGAGGTATAGCATAGTATATTTGTCCAAAGAGATGACTTCTGACACGAGTAGGTAGAAACATCGCTGTCACCAATTGATCTCCTAGATGAGCTTCAAGCAATCGAGAAAAAGATGGGCCGCGTCAAGATCATAGACAAGGGGCCAAGGAACATTGATCTGGATATATTGCTCTACGATGATTTGACCTTCACAAACGAAAGACTGCAAATACCTCACAAACTCATGCTGGAACGAGAGTTTGTGCTGCGACCGCTGTGCGAGTATGCCAACCTTTCAGTCTCTTGTGCTTGGGAATACTGAGCTAATCTACATATCAGAATCATTCCTCCCGATCTACCCGATCAAAACTCCGGTAAATCCTCACTGCATGAATGCCTATCGAAGTTACCCGCTTCGGATATGCCCCTTTCACCAATGATCCCACTATCGGCAAGACTGCCACCTATCTCATCTCTTCAGGCCGATCGCGAAACACGCATTATGTCCATCCTCAACTTGACACCGGACTCTTTCTCAGATGGCGGTCAACATTTCAACATAGATCAGACAACCCTTGCTAATACAATCAAAAGTCACGTTGCTGACGGAGCTACGATCATCGATGTAGGCGGGCAGTCAACTCGACCGGGTGCTATCCAAGTGTCATTGGCCGAAGAACTCTCCCGGGTTCTACCTGCTATCAAATTGATTAGATCCCTACCAGAGGCCAAGAAGGTAGCAATCAGCATAGACACTTACCGAGCGGACGTTGCTGAAGAGGCCATTAACGCTGGCGCTGATTTCGTCAACGATATTAGTGCTGGTGTAATGGACGAGCGTATGTTACACACCGTCGCCAAGTTAGGATGTACAATTTGCCTAATGCACATGCGCGGCACGCCCGAAACGATGAATACACTGACTGCCTATCCCCACGGCATCGTCGAGACCGTGGGTCGCGAATTACTGGAGCGCGTCCGCGCTGCGGAAGCTGCAGGCATCCGACGCTGGCGTATCATTCTCGACCCTGGAATCGGGTTCGCGAAAACACAAGAGCAGAATCTCGATTTACTTCGAAGACAGGCGGAATTGCGAAACTTTCCCGGCCTTGAGGGTTTGCCTTGGCTGGTCGGCACGAGTAGGAAGGGATTCATTGGAAACGTGACAGGTGCGAAGAAAGCAAGCACAAGGGTATGGGGTACTGCTGCAGCAATTACAGCAGCAATACAGGGTGGCGCAGATGTAGTCAGGGTTCACGATGTTGAACCGATGGCACAAGTGGCAAAAATGGCTGACGCTATTTGGAGGAGATGAGCAACATGATATCATCTAACCATGTATACTCAAAAAGCTGCAGGCAGTGACATCACAGGTGAATATCATCATGTTGCAGTCCACACAAATGAGCATCTGGTTTCCCCTGATATCATGCACTCCGCATGTAAGACGCACTTTACACACAGTTGTGTTAACGGGCCGATCCTTTTCTTCCTCGTGCTCTCACGAATCACAGATCCCTACTAAACAAAGCCTTCTAAACAATCAACGTGACCACCCAACATTATGGCCCTCAACAATGAAGTGTTATCGGAGATACAGCTAACGGCATCACCTGTACCCCAGAACTCTACACAGCAGGACTAAATACTCTATTCAGGCACTTGGCCCATGATGACTGTATGTGCTTGTTCTTTGCATGTGCTCGGCGCTGACAGACGCTCAGATGGGCTCCATTTGTCAGGCCTGCATTTATCAGTGAGATAGTATGGGCTGTCATCTTGTAGAGTAATTAGTAATTAAATGGAATTCTTTCGAGATGTGAGTGAATTAAACCGAACTCCCGTGACTAACAATTGATACGAACCAGTAGTCGAATATTTAATATTTACAGGGTGCTCTGATCAAGAGAGGTTTCGAACATTGCGAGCTGTGGCCACCTATGACCGACAATCCCACATTTAACTCTTACTTCTCCACACCCAAAGACCATGGCATCTTGATATCCTCCATATTTCTTGCTGCTAGGGCCGAAGCCGTTTTCTTCGGTCGCCACATGGCAAATATTGGTGGAGGAGTCAATTCGTGCGCGCATTTCCGCCACTCATCGCTAGCACATACCTCTTCGTCATCAAAAGCGAGCTTGATTAGTGACTGAAATCCGAATTTTGCGTAAAGTGGTTTTCCCATACTAGATGACTCCATCCAACACTCAAGGTCGAGCTGATCAGCTTGATAGATGCCAGCATTCATGAGAAGTGAGCCGATACCGCGTTGTCGATAGGCTGGATGTACTGCCATCCAATTAAGTGCTATCGTGGTGTTAGCTAAAGACAGGGCAACCAACGCTTCAAACTGAACAAGGATCAATGAGGCAAGATCGTCGGCGGAAACATCAATCTTCAGACAATGCCATAAAGCTCCACCTACCACAATGGGGCCGCTTCATCCAATTAGCTCGCGGCTTGTACACTTGATTCAAGATGGATTCGCAAAACCTCCGTGAATCTCCTTCCGGCCACCATGGTGCTGTCAATTTTGGAGCTTCCGCAGCGAACGGGTTGGTTCTTGATATGACCCATTGTGCGCTACCAACAGTTTGGCCTGTTATCGTATTGAAAGCATAATACCAGTGACTTGAGGGATCATGCTGATGTTGTGTCCACAGACGTTCCTTCGACTCGCTGATAGCGGCCTCCCGGTGGGCTTTTGTAAATCCTAAGACTGGGAAGAATATTTGCACGAAAGGCTCATAGGGTGTGTAGTTCGCTGCCCAGATAACGTCCACGATTCGGTCCAGCTCTTGCCTCGTCTTTGCCTCTCGTACAGCATACTGTGCACTCATTGGAAGGAATGTTGAGTGGTCGATGGAGCCCATGGCGACACTGGAAAGATATGAAGTCCCCAGACTTGCACCTCGCCGCCTTTGCGCGTCAACTGCGGGATCGGAGATATTAAAATCATCAAGGTCAGGTCTATTTGATTGGAGTGAGTGTTCATGGTAGTCTGGTGCATCGACCAAAGTGGAAGGTCGCTTTCCAACTTAGCGTCTTGAGTTGGTAGGTAACAGCGGCAAAAGCAGCCTCGCTTGCCACAAGAATCATGTGCAAATAGTCAGGGCAGCGCTTCTCAATCAGCAATAGCTCCTCGTCTTCCAGCATTCCGGTCACACATGTAACACCATCATCTTCTTGATTGCTTGCGACCTTCCTTGCTTGCGCGGCGCCGGGATGATGTTCAAGGTTGGCGACTCGCGCCATGACGGCGAAGAACCGGTTGGTCGCGTAACCTTCATCGCTGGTCCGAGCTCGGAGTGTCACCGTTGGATCTGTCGTTGTCGAGCTGAGCAGATGACGAGTAGGCTGGCCGCTGTACGTATAGTTGTCAGCTCGATAACTGCCATTCGGAATGCAGTTTGATCCATCGTGACAAGCTTTTTCTTGTCTCTCGTTCTATTCTATTCACGTAGACTTCATCGAAATGGAGAGACCTCCAACATACCAGCCCTTGTGTAGGGACGAAGAGGAGGACATACTGGCACAGTTGGAGGTAGAGAAAAATGGCACTGCATGGAACACGAATAGCACGGAAATCATACCAACAAACACGCGCAGCTTCGTGGCTTTCCTTTCGATTCTTTTGTTGTCGCTCGCCGCCAATGTCTTGCTAGTCATGGATAATGCGAAGCTACGCACATCCCAGCATCCTGGAAGGACGGAGTATGGTAGGTTGTCTCAGCCCTGAAGAAAATTCGACATCTAAGCTGATGATTCTCAGCCGGATTGACTTTTGATACTCCCATGCCCTACCATGCTACGACCCAGTACTGGCATCCTAATGCTACTGACAGTGATATGGAAGCCGCATGGGATGATATTGAGACCAATCCTGTGGCCGTTGCACTTGATCAGTCATTTGCAAAACGTGTTGGTCTTCCACCATCAACGCAATTCCCCTGGGATACAGAGCGCGACGTCTATTACGTGAAAGGCATTCATGACTTGCATTGCTTGGTTTGTCTTTCAGTACTGGAGTATCTATATCAGCTGACAGGATCTCCAGAAACTTATACGCAAAGCCATCGTCGCGAAGCACCACGGTAGAGAGCAGGTCTTCAATCTTCGGCACATCTACCACTGTTTGGACGGTTTGCGACAAGATATAATGTGTACTGCCGATGATACGCCTATGCCAGCACCCATAGCACATCAGTTAGGTGAAGGTCAGATTCGACAATGCCGCGATTGGGATAAGTTGCTCGCATGGGCAACTCGTCCTGACCAACATGCCTGCTACAATTTCGACGACTACCGCGAATCGACAAACACCCTAGAGTTGTTCGGCTTCTGTCCCCAAAACTCGCCGTACCAAGCCTTCCAACAGGCCTATTTCGAAATGCATGGCCACAAGGACACATACGAAGTGAAGGACACTGATGAACCCGTCATTGTCTTCTAGAGACATTCAGTTCTGACGTACATTCACTGTCTTACAAATTTGGAGGGCCCCTACAATCGATATCTTTGCCACCTCTGAGATCTATGTCACGAAATCGACAACAATGACTGTCCCTTTTCAGCTCATGCGAGCCAGCCACGCCAATTGTGTAACAAACTATCAAGATTAATCGCTAAAGGTCACTTGTCAAGGCCCAATACAATCGTGTCTGCGTTGCGGGGTTTCCGAAGATATCAGGCCTTCCATCGTACGAGGTGGAGGGTGACCTACCACCCGCCACAGTCAGATCCAAGAGCCAGTGAATTACAATTTTTTACCTCGAGGTCATTGCGGCTCGTAAGCCATGACATGGGGTTAAGTTGTGTACGACAGTAGTTCCGCCGAACACGATAATGGCCATAGGCTACTTCGACCTCACCGCAAATCTCTACTGCAGGTCCGAAATGTATTTTCGCACCGAGAAGTATGGGTCTTTGGGATACTACGCTGAAAGTCAGACACAAATGTCTTCTTAAAACGCAGCAGCAGACCCTCCAACTTACTGAACATTTCCAAACTTCATATATAATTCAAAAATCATCTCAAATCAGGTAGGATTCGCTATGTTTACTTATGTTCTGGGTCTAATAGTTGATAAGAGATCGTCCCATCGCTGCTACTGATCATGCACGCCACTACCGCTCTGCTCCCGCTATTCGCTCTCGCTGCGAGCATTCTCGCAGCCCCAGCTGCTCGTCGACCGGTAATCCGCTCGGTGCCAGACATCAACATGGAGATTCGAAATCCGATGCCGATTGACGGCAGAGGCGCTATCGGCGCCATCTTCGAAGGCGACCTTCCGAAGGCTATCCATCACATTTTCAGTAGGGCTGCTCCTGTCCTCGAGAATGCTCTAGAAAACCCTGTCGACGTTGTTGAAAGAGCTGTGCCGTCTGTCCACAAGACGCTCGAGAACCCTGTGGATGTCAAACAATAGACCACGTGCGATACGGCATTTTAGAACTCTAGCATCGCCTTCTTAGTACTAGGGAAAAATTCCAGCTTCATGTTCCATTGCTTTCCTCTGCTCCCCTGCTGCTTAAACCACCATGATCACTCAGGAGATTCCAGTGTAAGTCGTGAACAACTTTGTGAAGCTCTTACGATCACTCGTGTAACAAAACATACATGAGCGTCAGTTGGTGGATGCACGCGTGCGCCATCTGTAACTTGGGCTGTCGACCTCAACTCTGCGCTGGCAGATGTTCCACGACGGGAGCAGGTCTTCCTGCAATCTTGCTGGGTGGCTGTTGTGAAACCTCTGGCGGTGTCTCGTGTCACACAAATATGGTAATACAGTATACCTATGCACACGCTACTAAGCGATGACGATGACTTCTGTCTCAGCTGCGAGGGTCTGGGAATCATCTCTGACAACACCTACAAACGCGACCGGCACATATCTGCAGCTCTGGACTCACGAGAATGGCTCGTTGTACGACACGGGAGTTTGCCTAAACTGATCTCTAGGCCGCTGATCTGCGTCTGCTGAACGCCCTTGCATACCCACCGCCCATACACTGCGCAACATGCTACAACGGCTACTTTGCGTCCCGATCTCGCCAATCCATTCGTCCTATCCTATGATGGGCTGGAGTCCAAACCTCGCCGTTTGGGTTTCTTGTCCGTCCAACAAGGGCGGAGAAGGACATTGCTGGTGTTGTTGTTTCCCAAACGCAAGCTGCCTGGCGGGACCATACCTTACTGCGCGCCATGCGCCTTCAGCTTTATCGTAGACGGCCCTATCCATACATATCGTTCATTTATGCGGCCATAGCGGCCTTGGTGTGCTTTGGACTTGCTCTTGTTCAGCCCTTCAGCTATTTGCCGACTTGTGTGGATTCTACTACGTTTTGAGGTGACTCGCCGAAAAAGAAATGCGATGATTGTGGTGGTCTCCTCCACTGCGCATCATCTCATCGCGCGCCGGCCTGGTTCCAAGGACGATCTTGGACCATTCATTAATGTCGTCACTTGGGTGCTCCTGATCACTTCAGCCTTAGCAGTTCTGACTAGACTTATCACAAAGCGCGCACTGAGGCGAAGTATTGATGTTGACGATGCATTTGTCATTGCAGCTCTCGTAAGTATCTAGTGTATCTACATATGGGACTCCTTTTTCCTAATGACATTCTACTCAGGTTGCGAGCATAGGCTCAGGTATTTCCGTCAGTATCCAAATTGCAAATGGACTGGGTCGGGATATAGCGTCATTGATGGACGTTCAGCTCGTTGCCTACCAGAAGGTAAATTGATGGTGGGAACTCGACGTCGTTGAACACTGTCTAATTATTCGCAGAGCGAATATGCCAACAAACTACTTTACATTGCAACACTAGCCTTTGCAAAGCTATCGATAATCTCGTTGCTCATGATTCTGACTGCCTCACCAATGCATCGACAGATGGGCGTTGGGCTAACAGGCTTCATTGCAATTTGGGGGATCGTGTCTGAGCTCGTGGCTGCATTCCAGTGTGGTCCCATTGAACCATGGCGCTTTCTGGGTCCGGAGAATAGATGTATCGATATGGTATGTATACAGGAACATAGTGGTAGTAGATGAGCCTTTTACTGACACATACGGCCAGATAACATTCTGGAGGGGCATGGCAGTGATCAACATCCTCACCGATCTCGCCCTGGTATTGTTTCCGGTACATGTCATTGCCACTCTCCAGATGAGCATGGGCAAGAAAGTTACTATCCTAGCTTTTTTCGGCGCGCGATCATTGTAGGCCAGACAACCTTGCAAAAGTTCTGTATATGTTCAAATGCTCACAAATTATAGGGATATAGTCGCGACTGCTGTTCAAATGGCATACCTCCCAGGCTTTTCCTCCGACAACCCTACTGAATATTTGTGGAAGTGGACGCTCCTGACACAAATCATCGCATGCATTACCATTCTTACATCATGTGTACCTTATTTACGACCTCTTCTTGAATCACTCTCCTCGGGTCTTTATGGATCCGATGAGCTACGACGCCGTGGTACTCCATCAGAGTTGGGATACTCGCGCAGCAAAAGCGGGTCATATCAGCTCAGCAACGACTTCAAAGGTGGGGAATCAAAACACAGTAGAAAAAGCCAAAATGATGCTGGCATCAAACGCTTCCTTCCTATGCTCTCACAGGAGAGGACGAACCATGCAAATTCGGCGTCGGGTTTACCAGGAGGGCCAAGGAGACCAGATGGACAGATGGATGTTGAGATCACGGCAGTGCATCATAAGCTTGGGGAGGATAAGCGGTGGGAGACTGAGAGCACAGGGAGTAATTCAAAGATCTTGAAGACTACGGTTGTCAATACTGAGTGGGAAGAGGCGGAGAGTAGGAGCGGAGATTCTCCGATTGATAATATCGAGGTCATGAAGTAATACGAAATCAACTATGTGCAGCCAATATGAGATTCTCAACCTCCCCTGGATGACTTTTGTCATTTCTGCGAACATATTTGATTCCCACCAAAGACATGTGTCTTTGTAAGCTTTACTGATATTGATATGTGAGGTATTTGTGACGCGATAAAAGTCTCGACGAAAAACGATTGATCATTGGTGGCATTCCGTTTAAGGAATTGTCTATGGCATCTCGGCAACGCTGCACGTGAACATTGTCTCAATGCTGTATGAAGTTTGCACATAAATCTAACCTTTCCAAAACGGTTTAGCAGGCGTCTGGATTTACATTGACTAGAACCACTGAACACATTCGAACTACCTCGTGTGAGGAAAATTATGTCACTTGAAAGTCTACACCCAATGATAAGTCGATGATAGGTGCTTGAAGCCGCGCTTGCTGTATTCGCGGCATTCAACATTGCCCCTGTACTCCCAGTGAAGCCTGTTACTCCCAGGGAAGTGGAGCCAAAAGGGGATCCACAAACGCGCGCTGCAAGGGCTGATACCTCCAGTATTACATAGCTGCATGTGGCAACCGACGCAGGCGGCAATGGAGATTACGGCGTTGTGAACGGACACATCTAGAATGACGCAAGCTACCGGATGGCTTCTAATGCCCAAGATGGAGAATCAGACGTACAGATGGCTGAAATGGAGAGGAATCTCTGGTGTCGCCCCGGGACGACTATCAGCATCAACCATTTGACGTTGACATGGCACCTACCTACCGAAGTTAGCAGGCGGGCGCAATGCGGTCAGAGGCTTTGTGGAGCGTACCTAGGTAGCTACATGTCATGATGTCTCGTTCATCATTGACCTAAGCTCACAACATCCAAGCCGCCTACTACCACGGAGTATTCGGGCAGCTGTTATTGAGACGCGGAATTCATCACGACAGCTCTCAGCCTGCATGCGTGAATACCCACTTGCAGCTTTAGAGTCGAAGAGCTCCCACGTGTCGATGGAGCTACCTAGCGTGCCACAACATCAAAGCGATTCACGCCTTCATTCCTCTTCCCCCCCCCCCCCACCCACTATCAATAATAATATATTTCCTAACTTAATAATACTAAGTCTAACATTATCTACACTTCAACAAATACCTCTCACTTAATATTTCACTCTACCTC